CATTTTGTTCCTGCATTATTTTCCTGAATTCTTCCAATTTTTTTCTGTATTTTCCATGAATTTGTCTATTTTCTCCTCAAGTTTGTCAGATTTTTGCCTCAGCTCTTGGAGAATTCTGAGTATTAGAGATATGAATTCCATATCAGTAGTTCTAGTGCATTTTCTTCCAGAGGAGAGTTATGTGGTGTTTCATTTTAGATGCCTACTGGAACCATCCTGTCCTGTTTTTGTAAATGTTTTGATATTGTTTGCTGTCTTCGGGGCATTCAGCAGTTATTTTTCTTGTTTATTGATTGTAGATTTGTTTGGTTCATCCTTTTTTTTTTTTTTAATTTGACTATGTCTGAGCAGGCGGACTGTGTGTTCTTTGTTGTTTGCTCGTCTGTGGGCACAGTACTTTTTGCCTCCTTCTCCAGTTGGCAGGGTCAGTCACTCAGATAAGGTACGGCAGGGCAGGTCTAGCTGAAGAGGAGTTATTGGGACGTGTTGTTTGTGGCACTTACTACAGCTACCAGGGCGGGTCAGTAATCAGAGTAGGGCAGGTTCCAGTAGGCCGTGCCTGTGCTGCTTGGTGATGTGATGTCAAGCACACAGTGCAGGTAGGCAGGATGCAGCGGGGAGATTGTTATGTGTGGAGCTAAGATGGATATGGGAGAAAGGAGCGAGGAACAGGAGCCAAAAACATGCACACAAACAAAAAAGAATTCTAGGGTAGCTTGCCGTTAGAGTGGAGAGATGAGAGACTATGAAATGGAGAAAAACAGAAAGGGGAAGAGGAAGAAAAGAAAAGAATGAATAAATAAAAATCAGAAAGGTTAAAGAACCAGAAAGTTCCCAGGGATCCCACCAGTGCAGCTATGAGGTCTGGGGAGGTCACTCTCAGGTGTTGCAGTATAGCCTGGGTAGAAGGTGTAGAGGTATACAACGCCAGGTATTCAGGGAACAGAAAGAGAAGGAAGATATAGAGAGACGAGAAACTGAGTAATGAAGAAAGACAAAAAGGGAAAAAGGGAAAAGAAGACAAAACAAATGAAAAAAAAAAAAGAACAAGAAAAGCCCACCAAAAAACAGAAAAAAAAAAAAAACAACAGAAAAGAAATGCTCTCAGGGATCTCTCTGCACATCTGTGCAATCCGAGGGGGAAGTCTCCTTGCCATGCAGCACCACCTGGCCAGAAAGGGCTTCCTACTCAAGAAAAGGAAAAGAAAACAAACAAACAAATGAACAAAAGCCCTGGGATCCCACCAGCACGGCAACCCAGACCGGGAAGCAGCTCCACACTCGAATAGAGCTCCACAGCCCCTCAGGAAGAAGCAAAGATGGCGCATGGAGCCAGGTATTTGAGCGAAAGGATGGGGAGGTAGTGAGAGGTAAGGTAGAAATCAAAAGAAGCAGAAAAAAAAGCAACCCTAGAGCCTACAAATGGCACTCAGAGAGCCAGCTAGTGTGGGCTGGTGGAATCCAAGCAGCCAGAGTTTCTCGGACAAGAGACTGTGTCCATGGGAAGCAGAGGGTGCCAAGTGTGGGTGAAGAAGTGTAGGGAGTGGGAAAGCGCATATCACAAATTACCAGAGCTCTGCAGCCCCTCAGGAAGAAGCAAAGATGGCACACGGAGCCAGGTATTTGAGCGAAAGGAGGGGGAGGTGGTGAGAGGTAAGGAAGAAATCAAAAGAAGTGGAAAAAAGTAACACCAGCAGCCAACAAATGGCACTCAGAGAGCCGGCCCGTTTGGGTGTGTGGAATCCAAGCAGCCAGTGTTTCCCGGTCAAGAGATTGTGGCCGCAGGAAGCAGAGGAGGCCGAGTGGGAGTGAAGAAGGGTGGGGCGTGGGAAAGCGTATATTGCCAATTACCAGTTGTTTTGTCTCTCGCTGGATGCTCCGTGAGGCTGCTTTCCCTTACCCCCGTTTGCTGGTCTCCGATAGGAGTCCAAGTTGGCGGATCTGTGCTGCGTTAGCTGGTAGGGGACCCCTGCATGAATCTCTCCTCGCTCTCTGTTCTCTGTCAGTTTTCTCACTCTATTTGGTGCTTGGCTGAGTTCTTTATCTCTTCATTTGATGTTTAGGGTTTCAGGATTGTTGTATTCTCTGTTCGGCTTAGTTTTTCAGATCTTTGCTGTGGAGGGACGGTGTGGTGCTTCTGCCTAGAGTGCCACTTTGCCGGAACTCTAAAGCAATTCACTATTGTCAGACATTTCCATTTCCATTTTTGGCTGTTATAAAAATGCTGAGATGAACAACCTTGCTTATACAACTTTGTATACACATGTGTTAATATTTCTATAGGGAAGTTTCTTGGATGTTGAATTGCTGAGTCAAAGGAAAAGAGCATTAAACATTTTTGACACATATTGCTAAACTGTTCAGAGGAGTTGTGCCAAAATGTATTCTTCAAGCAGTGTTCCCATATCTCAATAAACACTACTCAACTACCTACTGTAATTACCTGTAAAGTATTTAGAAGCATGGTTGGCGCATAGGGCTCAAGCAATTTTATATCTTCTTCATTATCATTGTGACCCCAATACTCTGCAACATGTTTTCTCCTTTTCAAAATGGGCAATTGAGATCTTGACATAACTAAAGCCATGATGAACCTGTAAGTTTTTTTCTGCCTGCCTTTTCCTTTCTGCATACTTTTGTTAATGACTTTGTTTTGTTCTGTCCAGTCACCTGTGACTTACGACCCCCCCACATGAAGATTAAAGCCAAGATGTCTGGCATGTATATCTTTAGCCTAATAAGGAAATGTCTTGCATGTATTTCTTTAGTCTGATAAAGAGCCTCTTGTAATTAATCTTGTAATGAATAACTCATCTGGCCACGCCATCTGTGGGCTACGTGCCAAAAGGCACTTCTAACCCTTGAAACAGAAATGTAAAATTGCCTTTCAGGACTCCATAAAGACAGCCTGTGTTGCTGCCGGACTCCCTATTGGTGTCACCTCTAAATAGACTTTCTCTCTCTTTCTGACTTGGAGTATGTTTCATAGGCTTGACTGCTCCAGGGCATGGACCCTAATAGGGCAACAATCATTATCACATATTGTTTACATTGTATGCAGGTTTTTAAGCTACCTAAAATCATTTTTTAGAAGCAAAGAGGACTAAAGTACACAAATAGATGCTGTCTTAACAAACAATTGACATTTTATATGATATTTTGTCATTACCCAGTATTTTGCTGTTAAATGTGATGGACATTAAAACCACAAACTTTCTCGCTATTGACAGTAAGTAAAAGATACAATAATGAAGAAAATGTAATCTTATATTTTTGAAACTGCTATGTATTGCGCTGTCTGAAATGCAAAGTTAATATTTTCCATATGAGTTCATTAGATGGTAAAGATGAAAATAATATACAAGAGTCGTATTACAATGCAACTTCAAAAGCATAAAGATAAAGTACATGTTAAATAGGAAAGACTTACCTTTTAAGTGTAAACTTTTTAAAAAGGACCTCTATTAACATGGATGACATTACCTTATTTTTCTTCCCAAATTCTTAAATCATGTGGCTTATTTATATCTTTGCATATAAATATAAAGTGTATTCATTATCCCTAAGTGGTGCAGAAGTACACAGATTATTTGGTGGTCTCCAAACCAATTGTAGTGGTGGCTCCCTTTTAAAAAGAGAGTCTCAAATGGATCCCCCAGAGATCAAATAGGTAAAAGTAATGATGAGGTTATGAAAGCAGTTAAAATTTTCATGATTTAAAAAAAAAAATTACCATATTTTGTTTGTAGATTCTCTGAAATACCTCCCAAGACCTCAGATTAGGTTTTGCTGACATATGGTATGAATTAAACACTCTTAAGATAGCTTTGGAAATTTACAGAGACTTGACTTTTCTAAAAACAAAATTTACTTTCTGAACTTATAATGCATGTACTGAGAACAACTCTAGTTTCTATGCCTAGGAAGTCCATTGCTAGCAGGGAAATAAGAGAAGAGTTAAGTAAACATGTAAAAGAAAATCTATAATAATTTAAAAACTGTTGTTATATGAAAAGCAAGAGTATTTTACATTTTTCAAATTTTAGATCTAAAGAGATAAGGCAACATTTTGAATTTTGATCAGTTTGTAATGCAAAATGACCCATGAAACAGCCATATTTTACACTAGACAGATTGAGGGATATGGATTTCATTATTGATTCCATGGTGTATAAAAGACAGCTTAGTTTCTAATCAAAATGAACATAAACCACAACTTTTTCTGACCCTTTCTATTTCTAGCATTTTGTAACATCACATTTGCTCCAGACTTCCAACAAACATTTTTTTTTTCCTGACCACTTCTGAAATTGTGAGGTTAAAAGGAATAAAGAAGGATATGATTAGCTTTTTTCTTTGCCTTAAATTCACCTTGGGGAGCTGAATGTTTGTTTGTGACTTATTACAGAGCCTTTGACTTAAAAACCCTCCCTACAACCACAGATTAAATGCAAGAAAACAAACTACCTCACCTTTTTCAACAAGGAGGGAGGAGCAACAAGTCAGGAACCTTTTAACACTAAAACCCATCAGACAATCCTACCAAAGAGAACCTTAATGAATTACAGAATTTCTTTTTTGTGTGTCAATCTGAGTGCTTCTTTTACTTTTATCAAATGAGAGTATACATTTTTCTCTGTTTGATGTGCTGGGCAAGAGCTGGTAAGTAAGATACTTATTAATAATTTGATTTGTCTTAAAGATTATACACAAAAAATCAGTAGGGTGTGTATTGTGGAATAAAGAATGCTTTGACAACCTTGTATAAAAATATATGGGTGCTAATTTCACTAAGCATAAATTAGATTACTGTGAAGAAAGTTGGTGTGTGTGTGTGTGTGTGTGTGTGTGAGATATAAGTTCTATATTTTATTTGCTTTCCAGATAATAAATATAAACCTTTTACTAGAAGATGTAAATAGAGAATGCATAGAAATAGTCAACAAAAAGTTAGAATAATTCAGTAATTAAGAGACATTAATTCAGTATTTGAAAATCGTGACTTACTAAATTTCTTGTTTTGATTTCATATGTTCAAATAGTCCTTTTCTTGAGGAAAGTTCTTACACAGGCAAATTATCAATTTCAAAACAAATAAAATAACCATACACAAACACTTTTTTCCCCCCGGTTTGGCATAATAAACCAGAACTGGTTTATGGTAATAAAGCTTCCTAATTTTAGTAATATCATTTACTGTTTTATGATAATAAAATAGAACTACTTGTTCCACTTTATGGTAATAAAAATGTAGCAAATTTAAAATTCAAAGTGAATAGTTTTCTGTAGGAATTTTGCAAAAGCAGATCTTTTTTTGTGTTTTACATTTCTTCTCATTTAAAAAATCTTGAATGGATACTTGTATAACTTTAAAATATTAACTAGAGATTCAAATTATTTCTTGTTATATTTTCAGTTGGATATTTGAGCTAAATATAAATTTTGAAAATGTTAAGCGTTTTATAAATGTACAATGTAAATGACATTAATATGCAGTTTATTATTTATATTTTTACCCATTTGGAAGTTTCTAGTTGACGTTTTATGTTTGTGCAATCTATAGTAACCAGTTGCTGTCGAGTCAATTCCATGACAGCCCCATGTGTGTCAAAATAGAGCTATGCTCCATAGGGTTTTCAATTGCTGATTTTTCAGAAGTAGATAGCCAGGCCTTTCTTCTCAGGCACTTTGAATGGATTCAAGCCTCCAACCTTTCAGTTAGCAGCCAAACAAATTAACAATTTGCACCACCCAGGGACTCCTGGGTAATTGTTGCACTTTAATTTGAAAGTGAGAAAAATTTGAAATTTAAGCCCCTTGATTTATGTGTCATCATAATATAGTTTATACTACAAATTTAGGTGACAGACTTTCCAAGATTATTGTTTTTATTAGTAGTTAGGTGGTTGTGTAAATTTTCAATTGGGAAAACTTAAATATAATTGCTAAGTGTGTTTCTGTCTGTTGACAGTTTGCTTCTTGTATCATGATGGCTAAAACTGAATAACAGGACTTTTACATATTAACAATGGTAAATTGAACAAAAATAAGGAAATCATATATTTCAGTGATTCTCCAAATCATTCTTAACTCCTGCTAACTCTTATGATTTCTCTCATTTTCCTTGAATCCCCACCCGCCTAGGAAATTTTGTTGAACGTTCAGTAACGTATTTTATAAAAGTATGTTTTATTCAAATTGTATATGCTTTTCCCTTCTCCACTAGAGATTCTGATACAGACTTCTAGGAGAGCATGTTTCATACTCCTTAACACGGAAATCATTGATTACATCGCCCTTCAAAAAAGGAAAAACAAAAACCTTTTGTAAAGCTGAGATTACTCAGGGTGTTTTAAAAATTTTTAAATAGAATAAAAGCGGAGCAGAGGTAGTTGAACACACTGGAGGCAGTCCCCATCTTATGTCAGGGTTCCGTTATGAGGACTCGGTGGTAAGTTGGTTCTGACGTAAATTGAATACCCCATTTTTTTTTTTTAAGTTTTCACTATTATTCCTTTTATTATCAGTGTCTTTATATAGCCAATCTTTATTTGTCTGTGGGGGTTGGGAACATTACATATAAACATCTGCAAGTGAGTATCTGTGAATGATAACATCAGGAAATAACCTACTGCAGTGTTGTATCTAGTACATATTACTAACGATAAGATGCACACACACAAAAAAATCAGACAGTCATAAGTGTGGTTCATCATCACTTGAATATGTCATAAGTTGGGGACTACATGTATATAGAAGTATATAGATATATATGTATGTATTGATATATATTAAAATTATATACACATATTTTTGGCAGAGTGTCTGGCTCATAGTAACTGCTTAAATGGCAGTTGTTATAGTAAGGATCAGCAAATGTTTCTGTAATGGGTAAGATAGTAAATATTTTAGGCTCTGTGGGCCATGTGATCTCTGTTGCAACTAACAGACCTTGCTGTGCTAGCATGAACGCAACTATACCGTACATAAACAAATGAGCATGGCTTTGTTCTAATAAAACTTTATTTATGGATGCTACAGTTTGAATTCATTATAATCATATGTCACAAAATATTCTTTTTAAATTTTTTTCAACCATTTAAAAATGCAAAAATTATTCCTAGTTTCCAAGCTAGATTTGGTACACAGGCCATAGTTTGCCAACCCCTGTATTCCAGTAGGAACCCTGGTGGTGCAGTGGTTAAGAGCTTGAGCGCTAACCAGAAGGTAGGCAGTTTGAATCCACCAGCCCCTCCTTGGAAACACTATGGGGCAGTTTTACTCTGTCCTAGTTAGTTCAGAGTAGGAACTCAGACTTAGTTTTGGCCTATCTTCCCCTTGTAATTGTCCCACTCCCTCTCATTACAAGGGCCATTTTCCCATTTCCTTTAGTCCTGTAAAAAAAAAAAAAAAATCAAAACACAAATAAATTACATAGGTTTATTCAAGCAGTTATTCTGTATCGGTCCAGGGAGACAGTTTTGTTTCTAAAAAACAAAGGGCTCAATGCAGGCTGGCTAGTTTACAATGAGGTTTTTATATTTTAGTTTATTGCTGGTACATTGCTGTGGAAACAGGGCCAGAAAAATGTAACATTTTTTGAAAAACAAGTTAAATAACCAGTGATGGAGCTTAAAGCATAGCTTTTCATTTAACCTTTCAGAGTTGTTGTCAATTTGATCACGTAGAGATAATTCTTTAAAAGAGCACAATGCTCAAGGCAAACTTCTTTACTAATTAAGCTAAACTATTATTTGGTTTAAAGAAGACTTTCAGGGGACAGTTTCATCTAAGGATTAGGGGGTTTAAAGATTACCTCAGAGCAATGGTTTCAGGGAATTATCTAGCCTCTTAGCCTCCAGAAAGACTGAATTCCATGAGAATTTAAAATTCTGTTCCTCAGTCATTTTCCCTTCTTGTCCTCCTTTTCTTACTATGATCCTATTTGAATGAAGTCATACTTGCCTGTTAAAAAAAAAAAAAAAGATTAGTTCATCTTTCTTATTTTATAGTCCAGGACAGTAAAATTCCGAAAAATTGAGTCCCTGTTCTAAGATCATAGAGCTTATGCTGTGTAGTAAAGGACACCTGGGAATCTTGTTAAAATGCAGATTGTTATTCATAGGCCAGAGGGGAAGCCAACAACTCTGAAATTCAGTATGCTCCCACCCAGGTGATGCCCATGGGTATGGAACTACATTTGGAGTTGCAAGAGTGTAATAAATTGTACAACTTAGTAGCCAGTTTGTAGGGCAGTGATCTTTCCACAAACCCATGGGATTCAGAGGCAACCGCTTCAACAGATTTGTCATTATTCTTTTCTAAGTATGTATCAAAATATTTCTGATGTGACCAGTAATTTATTTCCATTGACTTACTAAAATTAGATGCTTACAAGCAACTTTAAATATATTGTACCAAAGTTCTTTTAATACAGGAGTAATGTGAAAGAACATGGAATTTGCAGTCAAAAGACCATATTCGAATCCTAATAACTTGTTATTCCTGGCAAGTCATTTAGTCACTGTGAACTTTGTTGTTGTTATTGGGTGCCATGGAGTTGATTCCAACTCATAACAACCCAATATGACAAAGTAGAACTGCTCCATGGAGTTTTCTAAGCTGTAATGTTTTTTTTTTTTTTTTTTTTTGGACTTTAGGTGAGGGTTTACAGAGCAAATTAGTTTCTCATTAAACAATTAATACACATATTGTTTTGTGACATTCGTTGCCAACCCCACAACATGTCAACACTCTCCCCTTCTCGATCTTGGTTTCCCCATTACTAGCTTTCCTGTCCCCTCCTGCCTTCTCATCCTTGCCCCTGGGCTAGTGTGCCCATTTAGTCTCATTTTGTTTTATCGGCCTGTCTAATCTGTGGCTGAATCGTGAACCTGAGGAGTGACTTCATTACTGAGCAATAAGGGTGTCCAGGGGCCATACTCTCAGGGTTTCTCCCTGCTCTGTTAGACCAGTAAGTCTGGTCTTTTTATTTTTGAGTTAGAATTTTGTTCTACATTTTTCTCCAGCTCTGTCTGGGATCCTCTACTGTGATCCCTGTCAAAGCAGTCGGTGATGGTAGCCGAGCACCATGTAGTTGTGCTGGACTCAGTCCGGTGGAGACTGTGGTAGTTGTAACCTGAAAGGTTGCAGGTTTGAAACCAACAGTGGCTCCGCAGGAGAAAGTTGTGGCAGTCTGCTTCCGTAGAGATTTACCTGTGAAACCCTATGGGGTCGCTATGAGTCAGAATCAACTCCATGGCAGTGGGTTGGGTTGTTTTTTTTTAAGGAGTATTATTTAACAAGGAGACCTGGTGGTGCAGTGGTTAAGAACTCAGCTGCTAACCAAATGGTCGGCAGTTCAAATCCACCAGCCGCTCCTTGGAAACGCTATTAGGTAGTTCTACTCTGTTCTGTAGGGTCGTTATGAGACGGAATCAACTTGATGGCGAGGTTTTTTTTTTGTTTTTGTTTTTTGGTCTAATGTATTGTTTTAGAAGAGAAATATGAAGTCATTACACTTCACTTTTCTATTTGTAATGTGGATTTCCTGCCTTGATATTTATAGGATATTCTTCTCTTTCATCGAAACGCAGACCAGTTTCTAGGAAGTCTGTTGGTGAGTCTGATGAACAGATTTTTGATAGCTTGCTTGTGACGAG